ATCATCATTGCACCTCATCATCATCTATCTTACCATTTATCCACCATCTATCATCATTTATCTCCATGACATTCTATCATCATGACTTACCCATCCCTATCATCATTGTTTATCTATCATCATGATTACCTCTATCATTTACATCTATCATCCACTTACATCTATCATCATTACTTACATCTATCACCATGACTTACCTATATCATGACTTATCTTTCATCCTGACTCTATCATCATGACATCTATCATGACACATCTATCATCATTACTTATCTATCATCATTACTTACATCTATCACCATGACTTATCACATCATGACTTACCTCTTTCATCCTGACTTACCTCTATCATCATGGCTTATCTCTATGTGAATGTTTTTTCATAGGTCATATCTGTGCCAGGCCGTTGTTAAACGACACAAAAAAATTCCCTGACTCATTGTTTTCCGCTTCAAAGGCAATAAATTTGCACAATGCCGCCAATGCAAGAATATCCAGTGGCAGATCGTGATGTGCTCCTACTGCTGATGGAAATCACTATCTTCAAATAAGCTTTGAAAAACTTTATGCTATTAACTGCGTTGCAATTTTTGGAGACACAACAACCTTAAGTTGGGTGACAAAATATCACATTAACACCACTTCTGATTTAATAAACTGGGAGTCAGTATCTAATCAGAATTCACAAAAAGTAAAGTGGAGTTAGAGTATTTTTGAAACTGATTTTGCAATGTTATGATAAAATTTTTCACATGCTAATGCGACTGCTGAATTGTAGGATTTAACGATTTTTCAGGTTTTCAAAGGAAACAAAAACGCTTAAAAAGACGCTGCTATATCAAACATCAAAGGAGGTACAAGGACGAGAGCTTTACGACTTATTCCAGTGACCTACATCAATCGACCCTGCATAAGGCTAGAACTTTGCGGTGGAGGTAAGAACTTTATTAAAATTAAGAACAGTGGCGTGGCCTGGGAAAGGAACTGGAGGAGCTTGTCTCCCCCCAGTTATTTTAATGAACAATTTTGTAATTGAAGGATGAAATGAAATAGATTTCAAACAGCAATAAAAAGATTTGCTTCCTGTTAACAGGTACATAGCAAAGTATAGTAAACAGCAGTCGTCAATCATTGTTATTTGTAAGATGGACTTGAATACACTTGCTAACACATCTAACAAAATGCTGCCATTCTAAAAACGTGTGGCTTTTAGATTGTTATAAATCCTGCCTGTGAGAAATAGAAACAACACAAAGTCAAACATTTCTTTAAGGGAGCATGCCTCTGAGCCCCCATTGAAGTCTCACACATTTGACGTTTACATTGTCCCTCTTAGTCTAAACAACCTGGTGACGCCACTTATTGAGAACTATGTTATACTGCAAAGCTAGTAGTGTAAGCTAAATTCTTTTGATCATCCAACAACAAATACGACTAAAATTATCTTTTAATTTTGAACTTTTTCCCATATTGTAAAGTTTTCAGCTGCGAGTTATGATTCGTAACGTTTTAGAGCTTTTAAGCCGTTTTGGACTCTTGCAAAGTATTTTTTCCCCAATTTCTTTGCTTTTGATTAAACCAAAGTGCCGGCAAATTAGAAATTTTTTTTAACCTTGCTCCATCCTCCCATGTACTTCTTAGATATTTGTGAATGTTTATGAGTTTATTTGTTTATGAATATGTGTTTATTGCAAAAATTGAAAGTTACATAATTGTTCATAAAAGCAGAGGTGAAACCAGAACGTTAGTTTAGATCATGTTAACTCTCTTTTAAGATTCTACCTTTCTTTTAAGATTAGTACTGAAATAAATAATGGAATGGATTGTTAAAATCTTGAGAATGATAATTTTCATTACAGCAGAACGTTATATAGTAAAATCATTGTTTACGCTTTATTTACATTTAATTAGTGCACTTGAAAAGCAAATATAAAAGGGTGTATCAAAAAAGAAGACCTTTTGAAATTAACGAATTGTAATAATTTCAATGCCTATCACGTAAATTGCAATACCATGGGTACATTCAAACAGCAAAACATGCACAAGTATGCACCAGTATGATTTGCATAGTCCTTAGGCACTGAAATCTTACAATAGGTTAATTTTAAAGATCTTCTTTTGTTATACATCCTGTATATCAAAATAGATCTTTCTATCTTGTTGTAGAATTGCTTCCGAGCAGCCCAACAGGTCTCAATATCACTTACAGTGTGTCAAGATACGTTATAATATCGTGGATGGATCCCCAAAACATTGCAGTGACTCCCGGCGCAGATGTTGTAAATCCTTTGACAAAGTTTAGGTTCATATTGAGAAATCAAAGGAAGGTCATTTTAAACAAAACTGAGCCATCTAACGTTGCTAAGCCTTACATGTTGAGCAATCTTATTCCTAACACAATGTACACAGTAGTTGTAACTGCTGGAAATTCTGAATGTTTTGGAGATGCAGCGAATGTTTCTTTTAAGACAAAAGAAGATGGTAAGATTTTATTTCATCCTATTGTGTTCTTCGTTTTATGTGTGTGCATCATTTCAAACATAGCTAGGAGAGAAAGAAATCGTATGCTACTTAAATGTTAAAAATAAAGACGTTTTTACTCGTTAAAATTTCATTGTGTAAGTGAACGTGGAATATTTTCCCCGATTATTATTTGTGGATTCTGGCCATGACTAACTCAACGAAGCAAACTGCCCCATTCCATTTCTTATAATTCATAAGTTATAAAAAGTATGAAAACGTTCGTAGAAGGCAAGCCACGTATTGATATAGGTAATTACTCTAACGTGTCTTTGTATTTATTATTACCACCACGAGCAGCGAGCTACCAAACGACAAATCTTCCTTCTAACCATCATATGTTTTTATGGCTATCAATGCCATTCCAATTTTCAAAGACGGCTGTTAGCTCTTAATTGGCTAGGATTATTTTCTGACATTTTCTTTCTTCTTCTTCAAAAATGCTCGATAGGAAGTAAAATACTCTCGATAACAGTGTCTCTATAACAAATATTCTTCTTGTTGGGATCAGGTTGAAAATTTTTACCTGAAAAAAACATATCTGCTCAGTGCTTCAATGACCAGACACTTTGCTCGCAATACCTATCGTAACCAGTCCATGTGTTTGGAGTTACTTTTTTCTCTTGACATCTTTCAACTCTTGTTCTTCAGTATTTGATCATGATATGGGAATAATTATCGCTATTCTGGTCTTTTATAAGTTTTATCATATCTACCTTCCTCACTTTATTTGAAGTTTCCATGGCAGCACGCAGACGTTTCTTCTATTTCATTGCGATAACACGGTGTATCCTGTAGAACGCCTTCTGTGCTTCTTTCGAGTTTCGGTTCTTTTCCCTCTTACATTCTAACTTGTTTTACTCTGTCAGAATGTTTTCATTTACAAAACAAAACGACGCAGTAAAACAATGTATTTCACTTGTCGGACGTATGTGTAACTATTTGCACATATAGACAATTTTTGACTTACAATTTAAATTTGTTCTTAAAACATGGAATGGTGAGAAAACCATGATGATCATCAAAATATCAGATACGACCTTACACGTTTACAGTACTGTATTTACCGTAAAACTGAAATGAGCTTACTTCAGTTGTCAAAATAAACGTTTGATTCAATGTTTTTTCTTGAATACGACTATACAACATGATGCGAAATTTTAACTGTCTTTTTATGTAGTTCCTGATGGGCCTCCTCTAAATATAAGAATCTCTGTCGTCAGCAGTTCATCGTTATCAGTCACGTGGAAGCCACCTGATAAAAGCAAGAGAAACGGGAAAATTGTCAATTACACTGTTTGTATAACACCTAGTGAGAGCTTCAAATGTTCAGAAACCTTTACTACCGAATATCAAAGCTTTATCATAAATGAGTTGAAACCAGCGACGACGTACTATGTGTGGGTTTTGGCAAGTACAAAAATTCGTTTTGGAAATTACAGTGAAAAGCAAATGGCCATAACAAATGGACGTACGTTTTCATTTAGAAATCTTCTCTTGCTTTGTGTAACTGTTACTACTTAATGGAGGGAGGTTGTGCACTTTAAAATAGGTTTTGTATTTTTAGTGCCTCCGACAGGGACGTTCAACCCGTCGGAAAAAACTTTGACATTTTCTTTAGAAATTCCTACGGTTAAATATGAGTAAGTTATAGTACGTATGTTCTTAGATCATTTATTTTGAGCCTATAAACCCTAGGTTCAGCACATTTACTTACTTAATGGAAATAACACAAGAAGCAGTCAGATTTTATAACTCTTTGATGCATAAATATTTAAACTTAAAGGCTTATAATTGTGCATGGTTAATCTTGACTCTCAGAAAAGACGAATAACGAAAATACCTGCTGCTAGGGATATTTTATTTTTTCTTATTCTGCAACCTGGATCGAGGTGCAATATATAGCAATTCCTGGTTGTCCTCAGTACTTAGCCATATTAATCTTGGCTATTAGGATAGTCAGTCAACTTTGTTCATGATCTTTTTTTTAATTTAAAAAATAAATTTTAAACTCAAATGCTATCGTTGTTTGAACCATTGATCTTTTTGGTGTCTTTTTTTGCAATACGCTTCCCATGGAAAATATGTATATTTTTTTATTTCAGGTACTTATTCGTAATTGCCATGCAAGGTGACAGACATAATCTTCCATCGCCTTTAACATTAAATGTTGAAGACTTAGAAACATATTCGACTCCTTCACCACCAAACCTTTAAGTTGCTGCGGTACTTAAGACAAGTAGTGGTGGTATTTTCGTGTTTATACTTGGTGATGGCTCAAATTCAAGTATTTCGGGAACACGAGGTCGTCGTTCTCCCGAAAGAGTTTATTATAACGCTCCTCTAAAACCAATACTACTTATCGAATTTTCCAGCGTGTGGTGATAAATGATCAGGTAATTGCTTAAATTTTTTTTTAATAACTTCTTTTTGGGTTTTTTTTTATCAAAATTTAATGCACTTCTTATCAGGGTGATTTTTATTCCACTGAATGGAGTCCTTCAGCAAGAACTGCTTCAGAGCTACTTCCGCTTCCAGGTGAGTTTAAGAGTATGGCTTTATTAATAGTCGAAGCATAACTTTAAACGAAATCGCGGAGAAAAATTGCCAAATGGACAGTGGAAATTTTTTTTCAATTTTTTCCAATAAAATAACTGTTTTTATATAAATGAATTCGCTGGATTCAGAAGCATTCTTTCTATGATGTGCAAATTTGAAGTTCGATATGGAAAAATCTGAACACTGCTTATTTTCAATCGTGTGGTGATAGTGCATGCAATATTGAAAGGCATGTGTCTTTCTCTCTGTTTTTTTCTCTCTTAGGCGATAGTAAAGATGATGATAACAATGATAACAACGTAACTGCAATTGCTGCAGCTTCTGCAGCTGCTTTTGTTTTCACTATCGTCTTTGTGGTGCTAATAACTCTTTGGAGAAGGTAGGAGGAGTTTAAAATGAACAGTAAAGTCGACTGACAGCATTAGTGTGAGAGGTGAATGTTTGACACTTTCACATGCAATTTTTCACTTCTTGCAATTGATCTTACGTGTTTATATAACTAGCTTAGAAACACTGCAAATGCTTTTTTTATCTTACATATCAGACTCTTCTTCACAATTGCGCATCATATATTGTCCCATCTTTCTCAGAGTAACAAGAGAAATTATCAAATACAATTGAGCATTAAATATGTTTGCAAGATTTTACCAAACTTCCTTTTAAGAGATTTAGAAACCTGCTGAATATATGCACAAACAAATGACAACTCTTAGTTTTTGCACTATTTGACAATGTCTGAGGATATTGTTTTGGTTGTAATAAAAGAGAACGCATGAAGCATTTTCTGTTTTAAAAAATGGCAAGCACTGTTTTGTAAGATAAAAAGGAGCATGATACGCTTAAGGAAATTTTGTACTAAGAAGTACAAGCAGGCCAAACTTTGCGTACAAAGAAGGACGAACAATCAACTCGTGGGTACTCTACTACTACTGTCTTCTGCTAATGATTGTATATTTTTCTAGAAGACGTGCTATTGTTCAAGAGCCTAAATCGCATTTGCAATCAGAACATGAGGATAGGAATGGACAAGAGCTGTCCGTTAGAAACGACGCGTTCTAACTGAGAACAAAAAACATGGAGGCGTTCTAACTGAGAACAAAAAACATGGAGGAATTGAGCCTCGAATTTGAGGTAATGTGTTTTATGTGTTCTCTTCTACAGATTTGAAATCCTTAGCGGACTAAAAATTCAGTCAAATTTCTCATAGTATATATGCTATTATGAGTAGTTTAGCATCTTCCGCTCAATCTAACATTAAAAATAAGCAAAAAATTCACGAAGGTTCGAAGCTGGAACGAGGTGATAAAAATGAAATTTGTTGTCTTGAAATGAAAGTTTGAGTCTTGGCTTGCAAAGTGCGGAGATTTTAAAAAGGAGTACGTCCGCCGCACTGATAGGTAAACTTAGGTGGTTTTCTTTTTAACTCGTGCACGGCTGTTTCATGCACAACCGAAAACAATTATATACGAGATTAGATTGTGTATTCATACCTATGCTTGAACATTAGATCCTTACTTGTTAAACTACGCAAACCAAATGTATGAGGATTCCCGTTTCAGTAGCTATGAGTTTAACACACTTGTTCAGTTTTGTATTTGCTTACTATTAAAATTTGCAGGACTTACCAAATGGTCAGAAATGCAACTGGGTTATTGCCAAAAGTCCTATGAATTCTGCCAAAAATCGATATGGAAACGCAGTCACGTGTAAGATTATATTGACTCGAAAACCATACAATACTGACAAAGTTGTTGTGGAAACACTGTCATGTGTCAGATTATTGACACAGAGTCCTTACAATACCCACAATAATGCTTTTAAAACACCATCACATGCAAAAATGTTTGGCCTAAATACCTTTCAAAATTAGGAAAGACAGCTAGCCGGCTATGTAAATTTCAGATCATCATCATTATATTTATTTCTTTAGAATTTTGTTGTTTTCGAATTAAAGATGAACGTAAAAAATTTTACACAGCCGGACTAAATAATCGTGCTGGCTCACCCCTCCTTACAATCACTAAATGCAGTGGCATGATAGAGATTTTTCCGTGGAGAAATTGTAACACTAACAAAACCTGATGGGGAAACAAAATCCCAATTTACGTTGCAAACCACTGAACAAAATAATATCAATGAGAAAGTGATATGTGGGAATGTAATTGTTATGTAAAAGAAAGGAAAATGTCAAAAACGAAAATTGTGTGTTCGAAACGTTATTTTGTCTCTTCTAGTCGACCATTCTCGTGTGATACTCTCTGGTGATGAAAAATCTGACTATATCAACGCTTCTTTTGTCGACGTAAGTTTCATTGAAAACAGTTTTTTGCTCGCAACATCGTCGACAGTTTACGTTAAAGATTCGCTCTTTTTTTCAATTTATACATCCTTGAACATGTTTTTGGATGTAGAGTGTCCAGTTTAGTAGAGTCCTGAGAACGACTTGTGTTGTTGATGTTGATTCGTTGACTCTGAAGATGACTACCTCTAAGGTTGTCGAAACGTCAGTCAACATCAACAATAACAGTCCTTTTCAGGACTACACTAACCTAGAAGATCTGCATCCACAAACAGGTTACGATACTCCTGGGTTCAAACCATTTACTTTATAAATCCTTTATTAACTTTGTAGGGGAAATGTGAGAAGTACTACATTGCGACCCAAGGTATTTTATTAGTTTAAAATTTAATCAATATGTTGCCGTCGACGAATTTTCAACGTGTTTGGATTGATGGCGCGTGATACAACTCCCAGGGGCGGATCTAGAGTATGTCAAATCCGTTGCGCGACTGATGTTTGAAATTCAAAAATTACCTATTCATATTAATTAAAAAATCACTAATTATTCTTTATTATCGCATTTACTTCGTGATAAAAATCCAGCTTTATTTATTATTGAAAACTAATGACTAATCCAATGAATATCTCGTTGGTAACCAGATCAGTTGAATTTTAATTGACCTGGAATAACCGACTGATAAGCGGGGTGGCATGACTGGTTCGACGGATAAAGGAGTCAATGAACGCCAAAACGCTTATTTTATTGGTCAATGGCAAGATCAGTGGACAGTCTGGAATGGTCTGGACCGATAAGAGGGGTGGCCGGACGTATAAGGGAGTCCAATTGCTATCTTACAATTGGTTCAGTTGAATTTTTGTTTTATTGTGATTGGTTTGACGGATTTCGACTGATAGCCAACTGAACAAACATAGTCAAGCTCACTGTCTGAATTGAATGTTTGTCGTTTCATAGTAATTTTGATAAGCATGATAGAAACTAAACTACAATCAGACGGATTTATGGAAATCTTTTACAAATTAATATATTGACATGAATGCTGCTGTCCAAACTGTAAATTTTTTGAAGAGGGTGAAAAATTTATGGATAAATTGCAAATGTTCCAGAAATTGTTCGCATTGTGTCATTTAGCAATACATCTAACTTATTGACGTGTTTAGAGCGAGACCAAATCGGAGAACAATGTTCTGCAACACTGTATGATAGGGCAAGAGATGATGTCCTACGTACCGTTGGACTGGCGCCCCACGATGTTCCTGCCAGTTTGTTAATTATGCCATTTCGTTTTCACAGTTTTGTGGCAGTGTTTTCAATGTGCTGTTTGTATGTTAGCGGGCGATCAAAAGTCACACCCACGTATTTTGGAGATGAGTCATATGATAATTTGGAGTTGCCTACACGTAATGCAAGTTGTAGATTTGCCTTGTAATTGTCCAAGTAGAAGAGGGTGCTTACAGTTTTTGTTGTGTTCATCTTTAGGTACCACTTGTTGAAAAAGATTTTTAGTTTTGTTGTGTCATGTCTGAGGGCTTCTTTAATTTGTTTAATATCTCTAGATTGGTGTGATAGTACGAAGTCATTAGCGTAGCCAAGTTTGAGATAGGTGGTCTGTGGTAAGTCACTGATATAGATGTTGAACAAAGTTGATGCTAGAACTGAACCTTGGAGAACACCGTTTTTTATAGTTCTCTTTTTGCTTAATTTGTCACCCAGACATACATGATAAATTCTTGATCCAGACATTTTATTCAAAAGCTTTAGTGTTTTCTTACAAGGGATACATTTGGCTAACTTATACATCAAACCGTTGTGCCATACCGTGTCGTAAGTCGCAGATAGATCAATAAATGCAGCTCCAGTTTTCTGTTTTCTTTCATATCCCATTTCGATGTATGTCGTTAAGGCCAGAACTTGTTCATTATTCTCTCTAGAAGTTTAAAACAACAACACAACAGAGAAATTGGGCGATAACTTGATGGATCGTTTGAGGGTTTTCCAGGTTTGAAGATGGCAAGTATTTTAGCTTCTCTCCAAGTCAGTGGGTATTCTGATTTGTCAATAACATCCGAGAGAGATAATGCAAGCCAGTTGATCGCCTTGGGGCCTCAATCATTCATCATGTCTTGATAGATACCGTCTATTCCGGCTGCCTTGCCAGCTTTCATTTGTTTAATTGCAGTGTCAACTTCTTGCTTACTAACTGGCATTGATGAAAAGCTGTTATCCGGGCTTGATTTGTATAAGCGTTGGTATTCATGTCTTATTTCTTTTTCGAATTTATGGATTGGTTTATGGGTGCTACGTTGTTTTATTTGTTTTGCGATATCTTCAACAATAATCGGGGCCTCTTGTGTTGTTTGCGGGCGTTTATCTGGGTCAAATTTTTTCAAGAGGTTCCATGCCTTTCTGCTTGAGTGGCAGAAGACCGTGTTTTCTACTGTTTCCTGCTATTTCTTGCAACGTCTTTTTTGTAGAGATTTTAGGAGTTCTTCAGCTATGCTTTGGTTCTGTGTTTCTTCATATCTTTTAAGAAGAGTTTGACTTTCTTCTGTCCAGCAAGGGATGTAAGTAGATCGCTGGCAATCTATCTCTTGGAATAAATTTTCTTGCACTACGTAGAATGCGTTTGCTGAAGCGGGGGATATTTTCCTGTACGGGTTGTATTCTTGGGCATGTTCTCTCTATGGACTTAGTGAAATCACTCCAATTTGCTTTTTGGAAATTCCATCTAGGTTTAGGGAGAGGTGTGATGGAAATATTTAGACCTATTTTGATTAGAAGAGGTCTCTGTTGGCTTTGGGGAATAAACCGAGGACTTGACGAGAGGCATAGAGTGGTATGTCATCGTTATCCTTGAATACGAATGTTAGGTCAGTAGAGCATTTTTTGCCATCTTGCAGAGAAGAAAGTGCCCTTTTCTCGGATCAAACAATAGATGCATATTATTTTGTGATGTCCATTTGGTGATGTCTTCACCAGCTGTATTGTTCGTTCTGTAACCCCAGTCTGAATGATGACTGTTGAAATACCTGTGATAACAGTAAGGTGACTGATGTGTGGTAGAGGTGGTGATGGCCTGTTCTCATTCGGTGTTTTATAGATGTTAATTAGAGTAGTTCCGCCATGGTGGACAATAGTACGATGGTCATAATTTTCAGTTAGAGTAGATTGTATCACTGAGGTTAATTGAGGATGTTTTAAAAAAACCATTGTGCTATATTTTTCATAGAAGATGGCGTCAACAAGCGAGTAATTTGTGATGGTGTATCTCGATGATGGACTATTCTTTACAACATGGGTCTCTTGTAGAAAGAGAATATCGACTTTGTTGTCATGAAGAAGTTTTGATAAGTACTCACATTAGGCCATAGACAATCCTTCGACATTTAAGGAGAGTAAGTTCACTGTTGGGCTAATGTTGAGATGGGAGCCAGTTGGCTTAATAAGCGGACCTTTTTATCCTGGGCGACGTCCAAGCCAGTATGGTTTTCTGTATTTCGACTGTTCATGAGTTTGGAGGTGTGGTTCAGAGAGTTCGATATCGAATTTCGGAGACCGGGTTTGGATCATTCTTAGTTTTCCTTCAGTGAAGTACTTAAGCCCCTGCACGACGGCAACATGATGATCCAGGCGCAGGGGAATGCTACTAGTGTTTGCTATGTAGCACACCTTGCATATACTTACAGAAGTTAATAGTCTAGTTAAATGCTTAATAAACATTTATGGCATTAAGCTATCCTTAACT